CTTGGCGACGGCCTTGACCTTGGCAGGATCCATGCAAACGTGTCCCTCCTCAACGATCATGCCAAGGTATTCGATTTTGGTTTGCTCGAACTCGCACTTCTCAGGCTTGAGATAAAGCTTGTTCTCCCGTAGTATGCATAAGACCTCACGTGTGACGTGCCGATGTTCCTCAAGTGTCTTGGTGAAGATGAGGATGTCATCAAGATAGACGACAACGACACCTTCATGAATGAGGTTGCGGAAGAGCTCGTTCATCATGGCTTGGAACGTGGCGGGCGAGTTGGTAAGGCCAAAGAACATGACAGTTGGTTCGAAGAGACCCATGTTGGTGCGGAATGCGGCCTTCCACTTGTCACCCTCCTTGATGCGCACGTTGTTGTAACCCCAGCGAACATCCAGCTTAGTGAAGTAGCGAGTGTGCTAGGGCCGCACTTAGGGGAGATCTCCGAGCCGCGCTACTGGCACTCAGACAGACGGACAGACAGACGCCAAGCGCAGGAACCCAGTGACAACACGAGGGTATGCGATGGCAGGGACAGAGGAGACAGAGCAGAACGCCACAGAGGGTGGATTGCAAGATGGACGAACTAAAGGAGCTTAGGTACATGGGGGGAGAGTCTTATATACAGGTCAAGGCAGCGCGGGAGTGGGATGACGAAGACGGATAAGCAAGTGGATGACTGAGCGAGCCGGGCCCCGCTGACAAGGGAAGGATGTGTAAGCGGGCCGAGTCATACGTGAACGGTGTGAGTCATGCGAGTCCGGAGTCCGTGTGCCGGAATGCCGAGATGCCGAGATGCCGAGTCATAAAGGAAAAGGAAAAGAATAAAGATATTGCTGAGTCACGTGACGGCCGAACCATGGCAGAGTGCCTTTGAGCTTGTCGAGAAGCTCCTGGATGAGCGGCAATGGGTAGCGGTTCTTCACGGTCATCTTGTTGAGCTTGTGGTAGTCCTGAACAGGGTGTAGCGAACCATCCTTCTTTTTGATGAAGAAGAAGGGAGAGGCCATGGGTGACTTGGACGGACAAATGCGGCCAGACTTGAGGTTCTCCTCGATGAACTTGTGCAGTTCGTCTTGCTCAGCGAGCATAAGGGGATAGACTTTGCAGTCAACTGGACGTGCGCCTAGAATAAGCTCGATGACGTGACTCCATTCGGTCTGCGGTGGGAGCTTGTCGAAGTCCTCCTTATCAAAGAGGTCGCAGAAGTCGTGATAGAGCGAGGGTACGAGCTCTTGGAAGGTTTGTTCCTTCTTGAGCTTAGCCTCTTCCTGTGCGATAGCAGACGAGTGTGTCGAAGTAGTGCGTAGATGTTCTGCGCCTGCGCGTAGAAAACCTTCCCAGTTGAGCGCAAGTAACCGTTCCCCCTCCTGAAGCTCCGGTAGGTCGATGACGTCTTCAGCCTCTTCCTCTTGGTGCATGTGGTCTTGGAGCTTGGTGCACAGCTCTGGGCAATGATCGAACACCACCGATGAAGTCTCCCAATTGATGCTGGGGTTGTGGAAGCGTAGCCATTTGTGTCCGATGAAGAGTGGTGAAGAGCCTAGCTTGGCTACAGCGAGGGCGATTTGTTCACGATGGTCGCCAATAGACATAGTGATGTCAATGAACTCCATAATGCTGCTGTTAGCGTTGGCGCTGCCGTCTGCGTTGTAGACCGGGATGGGTAACGTGGTCTTACACATGCAAATGCCATTTTGCCGAACAAAGTCCTTGTCGATGCAGGAGCCGGTGCAGCCACTATCGAGTAGGGCGTTGACGGAGATCTGACGCCGGGGAAACTCCAGGGTGTAAAGGACTGTTGGCAGGGTGATCTGTTGGCATTGGCCAGAGGAGCGAACATAGTGTATGGGCAAATGTAGTTCGCAGAGCGCTTGAGTAATGGTGTCATCGTCCATGCCATTAAGTATATTCAACATCTCATGAGTGGCCTCGCGCGAGCGTTGGTTGTGCGTCCAGTTGCAAAGAATAGCTATGGCGGATTCTGGCTTATCTTCTTGGAGACGGTGAGCGGCCCATAGAGCAGAGTGTGGCACAGCGTACCGATTGCCTCCCCTCCGAGTGCAAGGGAGGTCTTGATCTGTTGACTCGGACACAGGTTGGGGTTCACAGGGGTGAAATTCAGCAACATTATTATCATTATCATTGGGCACGGGGGTGAATAAAGCAACGGCCGGGGCAACGTCCAGCTCTGGTACATGAGGGGCAGGGGTGACACCCTGTAATCTGAGTAACAGGGACAAAGTAGATGTGTGCGAGATAAATGAGTTGAAAAGTCCGTGGAACCGAGATGGGGCTTGAGGTGCCGTGTTCACAACGAGCCACTGGCAAAACCCTGCTGCGACGCCTGAGCTGGGGGAGCGGCCGGTGCTTCCCCTCTACTCTGCAGCACGCGTGCCAGGTCGGCCCAATCAGCCGGAGACAGCAAGGCGGCAAAGTCGTCCACATTGGCAAACGTTGTGGTGCGGGCCCAATAGCCCGGAGGGAAGGGAATTATCCTATCCCGACCGTACTTCTGCCAGATAGTCTCCGTGGGTGTGTTGCAGTTGCGTGCCAAGTGGTTCTCACTACAGCGGTAGCACGCCATAGCTGCATTGGCTGCATCAATGTCCATGGGGACTACACCAGTGTTGGCCGCTGGTGCCGGTACGCGCTGTTGTTGGGTGGGAGCGCCCCAGGGGCGCCAATTGCCGTTGCACGGCTGCCACTGGTTGGTGTTGCGCAGTGCCTGCTGCTGCTGCGAGCCATCTGTGGGACGGCTGGGGTTGTTGTTTGCGCCGGCAGACTGGTGCGCGAGGACGTATTGCCGGTGGCCGGCTGTGAAGACTTGCACGCCAACATGCAATCCAGCTGATGCTCCCAATACTGCCGGTCAAAGAGGATGGCATCCTCATACCAGCCCTCCAGCGTAGTTGGGTGCTGCTTGCCCTGCCCGTTGACCTTGTCCTTCAAGGCGACCTTGAGGCTTGACTTGAACCAGTCGACGAGCGCCTCTTTGCCATAGCCGCTGAGCATGGCGTACTCCTTGAAGAAGCGCACATGCGCTTCTGCCATGCCGTCCTGCTGAAGGGTACAGATCTTGTGCTTGGCTGTGGCGCGGATGTTGACGTCCTCATATTCGCGCAAGAAGGCCTGAACGAGGGCGTCTGACGAGGACAGGGGGCCGGTGTACGGTTGAGCGCCTTGCCAAGCACGGTCGCGCTTGTCGAGCAATTGATGATACCACCGGGCCGCGTTCTGCTCAAGGAAGCTGGAGAAGATACGGATCTTCCGATCTTTGTCAAAGGGTACTCCCAGTTCCTGACTCTGGGTGGCCACGTAATGGTGTAGGCTGACGGTAAAGTCGCACGGCTCCGGGTCGTATGCACCCTCTTTGGTGGGTATGCCACTGAAACTATGCGGCAGGGGAAGGCGTACTTGTTGGGGACGAGGGGTGGCGGCCGGAGCGGCACCCAGAGGGCCCTGTGGCTGCGGTGGCTGGGCCTGAAGTGTGCTGACCTCAGCCCGGGGACTGCGGATGAGACGATCCTTGGAGAAGCCGATGGCTGCGGCGAGCTGCTCTGCGATGGGTGAGTGCGCGGCCATGTGCGCGTTCTCCTTTATGACCCAGAAGAGCGGGCCATCTGTATGCTCAGCACGGTAGAGAAAGAGATCCGTGTCGAGGCCGGACGGGAGACGGAAGTCGTCAGCATCGTCAACGTCCGCATGCCAGCCACCCTCCGGAATATCTGTGGGGTAATTGGCGGGGTGAATGTATGGCATGACTTAAGTGCGGTGGGAGCGGGGTCCGGCAAGCGGTAGGCGGAAGGTGCGGTGGATGGGCGAAGACGGTGGCGATGGAAGTTGGAGTTCACTGGGTACGTCCCAAGTGATCCACGGGAACGGAGTATTGTTGGCCGGAAGACGGCAAACAAAGGCAAGCTCGGAAGAGAAGGTGAAACCGGTAGGACCTCCCACCAGACGGCAAATGCGAAGATAATAGATGAAGTCGCAGGTTACACCGTAGTGTCCCCCTACAGCGATGAAGGCGGTGTTGAGACGACAGTTATCCGCAGTGCTCAGCGAGTTTAAGTGGCGAGTAACTTTGCGATGAAAGCTTTGAGTGGGGCATGCTGGTGCGACCTCCACGGAGACGATAGCAATAGTGAAAGTGGATTATTTCCAGGGACTACCTGAGGAATGTATCACACTATAGAGACGGTGATGACGACTCTAGCAACGACAGCAATCAAGGCAGTTACGGTGGCGACGAGTGTGAGAGCAAGTTAAGAAACCTTGATCTAATGTCAGCAACGGCTAGGCGGCCGCTTACTAACACAGACAAGGGGCGAGCGAGTAGACCCAGGCAAGCGGCTAGGTAGTCAGTGTATTGACTAGATCAAGGTTAAGAGTAAGTTACAAGCGGGGGCAGAGTCTTATATAGGTATGACGAGGCAAATAACCGCAAACAAGGCACGAGAACTAGATGAGTTGAGATTGAGTCACGGGAGTTGCCGAGTCACGTGAGAGCCTGGAAAAAGCAAAAGAAAAGGAAAAAGATAATGGATAATCAGGTGTCTGTAATAGGTCCTTGTGCCAAACTACTCCATGTCTCTCGACAGTTGTGAACCATTGTAGTGCAAGGCCAGTTTCCAGACCTTGTACACATTAGTTTACAGGAGACTTACCCTGAGCGTCAACACCAAGTGCTTGACATTCCACTTTCCGGGCTTAGATGAAAACTGCGCTCTACTACTCTCAAAAGACAGCGCTTGGGGTATCACACCCTTGTTCTCGCCTTAAAGCTGCTACTTATGCTCCCTCTTGAGCTCAAGAACCGATGTGGCACCTGATTGGTCTGGGCTGTCAATGAGGCTCCGGGACTGCACTTCTGGTCTAAGGCATGTACTCGCTTTCCAAACATGTGGGTGCAGGCATGTCTGGCGGTAGTGGAGCAACACCCACTCTTCTGTTTGTCCTCTCCAAACACTTCAATGTTCTACGGCAACTGGTCTCCAAACATGGGACTACAGGTCAGTGCCAGCTGAACATATTACTCGACATAGTAGAAGGCACATCTATACCCGGTGAAGATGGCTTCAAACTTGGTGCCCTTCTTTATCCCAGGGATGATAACCCTGCCATATTAGCTACCATCATTGATCTTGACTGGAACTCACAAGGTGTGCCATCAACTTGTGCAGATTTCCAAGAGTTGTGCGTGCTGTTGGTGAACAGTCAATCTCCTCCTGCTATATGGGACCTGTGCACCTCAGCCATGCAGCATTAGTGCCAGGCTCTCTGTTTGATGACGATTATGTCCTGATTTGGTGGTATGATATTCTGCATGTACCATCAGGATAATTGTTAATGCCATTACATTGTCAAAGACGAAAAGACTACTGGGGTGCTAATCAATGGTGCTATAGCGGGGCCCATCCCACTCATATGGACAACGCAGAAGGCTGCTTATTCGACCTGGTGGCCAGCAACCTGGATATGTATCTGTGGGTGCGCTGCTGGCATCCCTCTCTTGCCCAGTTTTGCTCTTTACTACCCTCTCCATTTCGAACACAGCCCAGATTTCATGCACTCCTCAAAATATTTATTCAACAGGGTACCTCTGAGAGTTATCACTACCAATTCCTCCCTTCACTTGAAGCTTCAACATTTTTTGACTCACACAAGCACTTTACGTCAGTTTTGGACAGTTTGAACTTGGAAGGTTCCAATCTCAAGGAGTATGTAATGTCCACTCACATATATGGTAGTCCTCCTGGAGCCTGCCCATTAAACTCCACTTGTTTGTAGAAGCAAACCTGTAATGACAGAGCAGGCACCTGGCCGGGATGTGAGAATGCTCACCCATTCTTTACTAGCCCACATAAACACCTGATATTCAAGTATCATGGCTCTGATCCATTAGTGTCCATGCTTATTGCAGGTAGGCGGTATAACCATTGTCCACACATGCCAGTTGTCAGGTTTTGTTAGTGGACATGGCTCAAGATGGGGCAGTCACCTATCCCAATGTGCCCCATGCGTGACATCAGAAGTGGTGGGCTAAAAGGTTTGTATCTTCTTGGTCTATTACAGAATCCACCAGAAGGTGGTATACCTCCTGTTGAGGAGATAACAGATGTGTTGGTGGGCTGATGGAGCTTGTGGAGAGTTACTTCAAGCTGTCGCAACTGTTAGCTTGGCACTGGGACATTTTTGTGGCCGAGAACTCTCTGTGTAAGATCTTACGTTTGCATAACCAAGGCCTCATTGTGTCTCTTACACCTCTTACACCTGCATAATGTTGTACTGTACGCAAGCCCAGTCCAAGTGTGCATCATATACACATACATTATTGTCAAGACCAATGTCTGGTACACAGCCAAAGATTCCAGTCCTACAGATGATGAACATCAAGCCTCACTGTTTAGAAACCTGCCGGTGAATGAAGTCCTCAAGATCAAGTGCAATATGCAGGTCATGCTCACATGTAACAACACTGCTACTTTGGTCAATGGCACGCTCAGACACGTGGTCAACTTCCTTGAAGTCTCTGTTGGAAAGGCTTACCATGATGCCAAGACTGGTGCGTACAAGCTGTCGCCATTGTCAAGCGAGCTACGCGCCAAGGTCACCAAGGCGCACAAATCTGATCCCAGCACTGCCTATACTTCTGACAAGCTATTTCCCTATGTAAAGTTTATCACTACAGAAGGAATTGAACTTGGTGTTATTATGCACTATGAGTTTAAGGTCGAGGATAGCAAAGGAAAAGTCCTCGCATGTCACCAGCAACTCCCAGTCATCACAGCATGGGTGCTCTCCATCCACAAGAGCCAAGGTCAGACTCTTAAACATATAACAGTTAACCTGGACCAGACATTCACATGTGGTGTATGTAATGGTCTCTTTGCAAGACCCTGTTTGCTCATGCATAATAGGACAAGTCTACGTGGCCCTTTTCCAAGCCAAGTCAATGGCCGGCTCACAGGTCCTCAATTTTGAACCCAGCAAGGTCATCCTCTTGCTTTCTGGTTATAATATGAATGTTGATGATCACCCAGATTGGTCCCAAGATCGTTCAGTGGAGTAAAATCCTAGTTGCAGTAGACCAGGGACTAGTTGCCAGCCCATATTATTATATTCCCATCAAAGTCCTCATTGCCTCCAGTGCAGCAAATGTGCCGCAGATTCCCTCCCGCCCCACCACTTCATTACAATGGACTCTTTATTATGATTCGGCTACTATATTTTCTTTTATTTTTCTCTTGTTTTCTGACCTTTGGACATATTTTGATGATTATGTCATGTAATCAATCTTCTTTTACTTGTCTCCTAGGTAGTTGGTCTCACATGTATATTACAAACTAGCTTGTCAATTTGTATATCATTCCCAGACTTGCTCGCCGTTCTTACTCGCCTAGTAGTGGCTCCGAGGAGCCTCATCGCAATATCTAGAACCAAACCGTAATACTCTTCTCCCGTCTAGAAGTTAGATCTTATGCTGTAAAGACCAGCATACCCTGTTCTCATATGTGAAAGAACTTTGATTCCAAAGTGCCCTAGCTGTCATTGTCTGAACAAACAAGACCTGCATTCAATCTATCATAGAGCCAACCGGCCTGTCTGATGCCAACGATGACTACAAGCAAGAAAATGTTCTTGCAATTTCAAAGCAGGATCCAAAGGTGTACTCAAGTGGTGCTGGTCATCAGGACGTCTCACTGCAGCAATGTCTACCAATACAGGTTGAATGAAGTATTGCCTCACTGCGGCCCCTTGATGTGGTGTTGTCACCTTCGGTGATGGCAGATGATGACCAATAGCCGATGTCAATACTGATGCTAATGCCTATTCAGGATTGCTGTTCATCTTCATAATGTGCGTGACCGGCAATTCAGAGAAGCAAATGGGTGCACGAGCTGGATCTGAGCCACACCCCTTGAATCAATTATTCTGGATGTGGACTTTAAGAAAATAGTGAATAAAATAGCTCATGATATAATATAGTCATAAACTTATACTTAGACACAATGAGTCCATGTGTACAATCTATCAAATGTCTTGTTGACATGGTGGTCAATACTGAATGTTACTGCAAAGGAACAGCTGAGAATGCATGTAAGGGAGCGGTGGAAACCATCTTGATCAGACCTCATGTGCCAAAACCCTCTGTGCAAAGTGAGTATTGAGCAAAGGATGCAGATGCATGGTAGAAGTATGTCTATCCCCCCTGTGCCTGCCTAGCTTCTGAGCCAAGGTGTGACCTTGCTTGCACTTGTTAACTGCAAGCCCCTCAGTGACCATAGTGTCAACATCCTCCAAGCTTGTGCACTTTGTGTACTTGGTGGTAAAGGCCCGTGCTAGCTTCACACAAGTGATGCATGTCCAATACTTGCCTTTTTTGATAGGACCACATGCACTGGCAACAAGAGTGTGGGTGCAACCAGGAACGGCGCACTCCGCACCAACCTGCCAGCTGAATGGTGTTAGATTGAGAGAGAAGTGCAAGCAGATCTACAAGCCTACATTTGATCTCCTATTGGTTTGTAGCATCCCGTCACCTTGTGTATGACCCAACCGGTCAATCCCTCCCTTGCACAAGGCAGGCACTACTTTGTGTGGTCAATAGTGCTGGTGCCGTTCAAGATCATGGTTATTACATTACGAGTCATCCCTGACTCGTTGATTTACCGAAGATTCAGAAATCCGTGCCTGAGCGTTTGGCCACTTCAGGCAGTTGTTTCCCACACAACACTCGTGCTGCGACTTCCGGTCTAATT